ATTCAACTCCTGATGACAAGCCACCATCCAGCGAGGAAGCAATGCAAATGGCAACAAACCATCAGTATGCACAAGAATTACCAGACATTGGTGATCAACGGGACAGTTACTTGCAACTCGCAACAAAACTGTATGACACGCAGGCAAACATTGTCATAAACCAAAGAATGCATCCAACCAAACAATCCAAAATAGACACACATTTTCCCCCAAGACAGAAAAAAAATAAACATTAAAATACTGTACGTATTTTACTGTTGTGATTTTTTTTTTTTGGATACACCTGTATTGCAGTTTTTGTTATATAAACAGTTTTTGGACAGTATATTTTTGTATTTTATTGATTGTGTTGTTGCACGTGCATTTTGTCAACATACTTGCAGGTTCATAAAGGACATGCACCATGATCATTTCCCAAATGAGGAATTTCTGTTATCAGGGCAAATTGGACAGCGCAAACACGAGTCCGCACTAGAGAATATACACTGTATATATATTTTTAAACTCCCCATCACTGCAAGAGGCATGACTGCAATGAACAGCCTCATTAACAGTTCAACTTCTGTCAGTCTAATATTGCCCCCATGTGGCCAAATCGGGTACAGAAGAAGGAGCACCATTGGATCGATGCAATTGTTGCTGTTTTTTCGGGTTGACTGGAATGGATTAATTGCATTTCCTGTCCGTGTTTGAGTTACAAGGATGGTTACGGAACGCATTAAACATGTATTTCAATGTGCCGCTGTATTTGGGTTCTTTTGAATCCAACAATTAATAATGCAGGCGAAAGCTGGAGCCATGCAAAGTTTGCAGGCACCTGACTATGCTGCTCCATTTGAGACTGATGTACAAACATGGAGTCCTCTGATGGAAGCTTTGGATGACCTGCGTCCGATCTGTGTTCGTCCTGACAGACACGACACGAAGCACATATGATAAAAGTGAATGTCACAATTGGCCAGAAATTGCTGGGCTTACTTGCTTGAGCTCCAAGTCACTGAGGTTGTTGCTGGAATATATAACGTCTGTGTGCTTGTCTTCTGTCGAGGAATCCTCAAGGCTTTCTATGCTGAGTGGACTCATGTTTCTGTCAGCTGACATAGGGAGTGTTTGGAACAGAACAAAAAGACTGCTGATAGAATGCTGTGTGCGAAAATAATAGAGCCCAAACGATAGGGATTTTCTCGAGGAAGATTCCGATATTCGGCAGAAGAAAATCCGATAACTCAACTCAACTTAATTGTATTTATAGAGCACTTTCAAACAGCCATCGCTGCATACAAAGAGCTGTACATGGAGCAACTAACATATATACAACAATAAAGCAATAATCAGTAACAAAGATAGTAGTAGGCACCAAACAGTAACACTAAGATCAAATCTGAGTCATGCTGAGTCAAATGCCAAAGAATACATGTGTGTTTGAGGCGGGTTTTAAAGATGGGCAGCGAGGAGGCTTGCTGAATGTTCAGTGGGAGGTCATTCCAGAGAGGGACCAGCAACGGAAAAGGCTCGATCCCCTCTGAGCCTCCGTTTAGTTCTTGGTACTTCTAATAATGTTTGGTCCGCAGACCTGAGGAGCCGGGCAGGTGTGTAGGGGCGGATGAGCTCAGAGAGGTAAGGTGGCGCGAGGTCATTTAGAGATTTGAAAACAAATAATAGGATCTTGAAAATAACTCTAAAATGTATAGGGAGCCAGTGAAGGGATGCCAGAGTAGGAGTTATGTGCTGCCTCTTATAAACACAACACATAACATAAAACACGGACAGTACAATACAGTACAGTACATAATGTACACAGTGTTTTACAACAGTGCTTAACCATATTTATAATTTTATCTGTACCGGTAGTTGAAATGACAAAGCTTGTGTTAAAAATAGACATGAGCGGTGTACGGAGCACACAGGTTCCATTAAAAAAAAATGGAAGCGAGCCACAACATTCAATATATCCCAATTTTCTCATCTTTATTTTCACCCATGTTGTCTCTCTGTAGAAACATGCGTCTTCCTTGCCTGACACTACATCTTTTGATGGATGAGAAAAAGTGATGCAGCAGCTGTACAACATACTGTATGAGGAGCCTCAGAACGTAATACGGACTCTCATTGTTCACATTGCAAGGAATCCTTTATGATAAATCATGCAATATCACGCAAGGGTCATTTTTTGCAACGGCGGTGGCGTAGCTGGATTCAGAAGCATTGCGCGGTGTGCAACAGCCTTAACATGACATGTTTTGACATCTGACAAAGGCATCTCTGGTTTTTATTTTGAAGTCATCAGATCATGGGTAACGAAAGGAGAAGAAATTGTGATTCAACCTTAAAGGGGACCATAAATTAATCATGTTTTGAAATGAACATCACGATCAAGTTGATAATGTCCTACCTACACTGATTCTCTCAATCTGAAGATGAATGAATTAGTTAACGTTTTTTTTTTCTGTTGTTCTACTTGGAAATGTGTCTTTTTTTAAAGTTAAACAAATGTTTAAGGGCAAAGTATTGCAAAACAGTCAAATGTTCTGCCTGTAACCCTTATATATTTGTTGTTGCAAACATTAAGGGACCCTAAAAAGTTATTTTATTCAAGTCAAGACAAGTACAACTTTATTGTCAAATGTGCAGTCTACAGCACAGATGAAATTTCTTCCCTCTCAAACAGACAACAATATTAATTAAGATAAAGCGGTTCAGATAATAGATGGGTAACTGTTTTTTTAAGCGCTTTGTTGCAGCTGCAGCTGTTGTGAAAGCGCTATATAAATCAGGATATATTGTATTGTAATGTATTTCTATCACTTAGCGGTGCGGAGCAGGTGGCTGTGTCTCACACGCTTAAAACCCTGAAATGAATTTTCTGCTCGTGTGAAAGCTTCCATGCATTTTGAGTGGCGATAATTTGCGACGTCGTCACACTTTGCAACTGCAATTCAAATTTTGAAAAATTCCAGTGGCCAAGACTCAGCCACTCATGAAATCACGCGTGTTCCGTGGAATCTTGCCAAATCGCTCAGTGTGCAACAGCTCTTGGACAGCTATCGAAATAAAATGATGCATATTCATATTATCTGTTTCCTAATTATGACAAATTATTAACATGATCGGCGTTTTCACATCAATCAAAAAAATAATTGCTAATTACAACATAATTATAACTCACGCCGGACCGAAATTGATTTTTGGAACCATATTCAGATTCTAATATTTGGCAGAATAAAATTCCAATCACCAATTACTTAATTAAATTAATCTAAATGACATCTAATGAATAAAAATGTTGACAACAGTAAAGATATGACTTGCAGGCAGAACATTTGACTGTTTTTCAACACTTTGTCCTTTTAATATTTGTTTAACTTTATAAGCAAGAGGAAAATCAGGAAAAAAATTATTGTTTGTCTTTTATTGGGGTGGGGTGGGGTGGCTTTGTCATTCTCTTTGTCCTATGTTGTAATGCATTAATGTGTAAAATAAATAAATTAAATAACTTGCCAATTTGTATTATTTTAAAAGAGCTAATATCGTCTGATTAAATTGGTATGTATTTTGCTCAGAAGTTTGTAGCTCTCAGCTTTTGAAAATTTTGGTTACACCTTCCAAGATGCTGACGGAATTGAATGGAGTCTGCCCGATTATGATTATTTTGAAAAGGGGTAGCATCAGCCGATGAAATCAGCCAACAGAATAATCGGTTGGGCCCAAGAGAATTCAAGGTATCGTACCTTCATGGTCATCTTGCCGCATGACCGCCTCTTCCTCCTCATATGTCACCTGGATAACATCCTTTGGAAAAGCCTGTCAAGGAAAAATGGCATTCAACAATAATATCAGACGTTTGAAATGGGTATTTTTATGGCCTGATCAGGGAGAAGAAAGCGCTTGTGGTGTACCTCCTTAATCTCTGACCCGATAACACCAGAGCACGGCTGCATCAGCAAATTGACTGCAGTTCCGCTTTCTTTCCAGTACATGAGCTGCCGAGTGGGGGGAGCCATGATCAGGCTGACAACCAGATCAGAGTCGTCACTAAGCTGCATCCGCATGGCCTTGTCCGTCAGAATTGTCATTTGGTCCACAATCAACATGCGCTTCCTCCGTCCTCTCTTCTTTTTTCTGCTACCTGAGGAAATGTGAATAATGAGTCATTTCATGATTGATACAGTTGATATTTTTCACGACTATTCACTGACAGACAGGCGTAGTTGGTTGGTTCTGTTTAATTAACGCACAACATATTTTCTTTGTTTTGTTTCACACAATCTTAAAGCATACTAATACTTGGAGTGGTGTCAAACTCATTCTTGTCATGGGCTCCATTGTAGTTGGGGTTTCCTTCAGAGGGCTGTTACGACTGCGAACCCCAAAAAATGTACAGCATGATCACATCATATTCAAAGTCTGGTAATGCAGGGTTACTTGATGAAGTGACGCAAAAATAAACCATTTTTTTGTTAAGCCACGGCCATTCATATTGTCTTTGCAAACACATCTGTCATTGGATAGTTGGATTACATGACTTTTGCATGTTTGGTCTCAGAAATTTCCTTTTGCTGTATACAGTAGGTATTTAAAATGTGGCTGTGCCTACAAGTGTCAGGCACAGGCAGAAGGGCAAAGGTTGTCTGCTCTTTTGGTGACTGATCGAGGGACTTTTCTTTCTCGGCATGGTCTCTTCTCTTTCCATCTAAAGAACAAACAGATGGAATTTCTCAACCAGGACGTTTCACCTATTTTTAGATATGCCATTGAATGCTGAAGAAAGTGCATCGTTGTACCATGCTGGTGGTTGAGTGAATATTCGTGAGGTATATCATTGAGAATTTCTAATGGGGTGGAGTCAGTAAAATCTGAATGAGTGCCGCTGTATGTCAGAAAGTCTGTGGGATGAAAAAAGCATAACAATATTCATCATCGATGAGTGAGCTCAAGATGAATTAGTCCAAAGACACATTTAACATGTTTGTTCAGATCACTTCACGAGACCAACCAAGACACATCTCCAATCTGGCGCCCTCATCTCCAAACAAGTCTTGTGGATGACCCAGACTCTGAAAGTCCATAGCCAACTGACCAATGTTGCACTGGGACATATCTATAGCAGATCGCAAGGAGACAATGATAGGCCAAGTCAGTATTCTAAAGGCCTTCACCTCACAGGAACAAAATGTGAAATGCATCTAGGGCAATGCTACTTGCGGATTTGGTTTGGTTCATTATTGAAAACATCCGTTGCATCTAAAACTGTAAGCTGAATGTTTTTTTTCTCTCTCTCTTTTAAGGCTGTTCAACATTTTGGGGGTGGAGAGTCTGATCTGTGTGTTTTGACATGGAAAAACTTGTTGTTGTGTTTGTTTTGATGTTTACATGATACACATTAAACACCTGAAATAAAAATACTTAAAATTTGGATCCCTGTGTGTTTACAGAACTTGTATGACCTCAAACTGACATAGCCTATACCTTGTGCGCAGAGATAGCAAAAGCCAGGTATGTTTTTCATTCTTCCCACCAGTGTGTAGTTAGCACGTGGTGTGCTTACTAATATGATGTGTTAATTGTTGGATATAAAAATACAATTTTTCTGAAGGTTTGAAGAGTTAAGCAAGACGAACTATGATGTTTTGCCATTTTGGTGAAAGGTTTTCTTATTTGTGTGAAGAGTGCTGCAAAAATAGCCAATTGTTACAGAACAGTGTGCTATAAGCCATTAGATAAAAAGGTAATCTGAAAAACACGATTAAAAGTTGTACATTATAAAAGTTGCATCGCCAAAACGGATTTGTCTGATTGTATATAATTTTGTTCTTCTATTTCTTCAAATGGTTACCTGAATATTCCTTCAGGGTGATTTCATCTGGATGGCTTTGGTTTTGCGAGAAGATATCCATATCCATATTAAAGTCACTGATGGAGAGAAAAACAGAATGGATAATAAATAGAAATCAAATATTAAAATTCCACAATTAGAAACTTGTTTGTATATGTAATTGAGGAACTTAACATTCAGCCCTCCTTTGCACTTCATACTTTTCATTATCAATTAGGTGTAGGAAGACATCTTAACTGTGTTCATTCATTGGTGTGAGCATTTTACTCACAGAAAGGTTTTGCTTCATGATACATAATTGACCCTTTGAACTTGTCACGCATCAAGTACATGTGGAGTGTGGAAATGAGAAGTCAAAAAGGTACCTTGGGTCAGACAAGAGAGAAAAATCTTCACTCAAAGGGATTTCTTTTACTGCGGCCTCAAACCCTTCACAAGACAAACTGTTTGTCCCATATGGAGCGTCTAGAATGAAAAAGGTTACATCCAAGCAGATGCCAAAATCTTAATCGATGTACTTGATAGGAGAGAGCTTTCTGAGTGGAAGACATTCTTGTAGAAAATATCCATCCTGTCCCTTAACATTCTTGCATGAAACAACTCAGTATCCAGTTAATGAGTATAAGCACCCAATTAGCAGTGATGGCAGTTTTATTCAAAATATGTTTTTTCTATCCTCACATTATCTATAAAGGTCACACTCAACAGATGATGAAGAACTATTGACAGGACCTGAGGTGTTAAGTCAAAATGTCTTACCTGGCCGGAATGACAGTTTGAGTTTATCCAAAGCATGACTGCAGTCTGTAAGGAGATAGTTTGCTTTTCTGGAAAAGATCTGAGCCACGCCAAGGAGCAAAGATCCACAGAGCCGCAAACCAAGTGTCTGTAAATACAGCATGATTCATGTCATACAGTACTTTTTGCGCGTTAACTGGTCAAATGAATTTGGTAGTTTACAATTGTTCACCTGTGGGGAAGATATGATATCTTCTATTGCTCCATCCAAATCACATTCAATGACATGGGCCTGGGTGACCTGCTGCTTAAAGTGCACCGAGAGCCAGATTTTTTTGAGTGTTTCCCACTTGTACGAGAAGGGCGTCCAAAAAGTGAGCATCTTCTGAGAGTAATTTTGTTGCCTGAAATGAAAAAATTTCACTTATGGTTTCATTCAAGGTGTTGCATCGCCAGTGGTAAATGTAATTACAAAATTCTGGTGACATATGTCACAGCAAAAGTTCTCTTTGGAGCTGGCTGTATTTAACACAGGAAGTTCCCAAGAGGTATAATCCTGTATTCATATCAACAACAAGCAAATATAGAAACAGCCATTAATTCCACTAGACATTAGAAGTAATTAAAAACATTAATGGGGTTTGTATAATCCACTTCTTGTCATCCAGTGAATGGCAGTTGAGTAACCTATAGCACCTAAAGTAAAGTGTCTTTCTGGTTTAATATTGTCATCACCTAACGTAAAATTGTGTTGTGGTGTCTAGTGCCAAACTAATTCCTGAATTCAGGCATTAACAGTTGATGTTTACGTTGGCTGTGTTGGCGAGAAGATTAACACAGGGGTTAATTGACAATTTTAGACATGTACTGGACCGAAAAATTGTGTGTGTGTGTGTGTGTGTGTGTGTGTGTGTGTGTGTGTGTGTGTGTGTGTGTGTCTTTATCAGACAGGATAGATAGATAGATAGATAGATAGATAGATAGATAGATAGATAAAAACGTCACAGACCCAGCAATTAATTCCACCTGTCGAAAAATGTAACGTGCGCGTCTTTAATCCCACAAGCGGTAAAACAAGGTACAGTACTGTACTTTACTTTTAGGAGCTCGTATCCGCAACAGCTCACGCCTCGTCACCCAACACACTGCCTGTTTAAACCAACCGTCGCCATCGTTAGAATAGCAAACAGTTTGTTACATTATTCAAATACATTTTGTTACCCCACTTTTGACAACTATAGCCACCACTGAGGAGAGAACAGTGTTGTCTTTCTGTCATAATGTTGTCAGCAGTAACAAAAACATTTAATTGAGTAAAAGAATTTCTCCCTTTTGTCCAGTGTTAATGTAGTTCAGGTGCGGAATAAAAGTGACAAGTTAACATCGACATTGGCAGCTACCTGCGTTGGCCGAGAGTTTAACACACAAAGTGTACAGTTAACCAATTTTGGACAAGGGTAAGAGTCAAAGTTAAGAGTCAGAGTAAGTAAGAGACAAGAGTAAAGTCGTACATTTGTATGAATTTACCGTTTAAGCAGACAAAGAATCGCCCATTAATTTCAGCAGTTATCGCAATTAGTAAATTCATTACCGTACTTGAAAATGCCGCTTTTTACATTCAGCAAGTGGCGTCAAAGGATTTATGCTGCATTCATGGAAAGTGGGAAATCCGTAACTTCTGATCCCGACTGGGAAACCAGCACTGGAACGCCCTTTGTATTGAGAGATGCGAGGTGCGAAGTTGAGGGAAATTAACGGACCCCAAATTCTACAATCAGACGTCATTTGACCGTATTGGCAAAACATAATTTACAAGATTAAAAAGATATTTATCTATATTTAGTTTATTATTGCATTTAGTTATTCAAAGTAACTTTACGTAACACAAGGTGATTTGATGTGTACTGGCTGAGTGTTATGCCGTTATCGACATACATGAAGTTATTTAATGAAATGAATTTAATGCTTTGAAGATTAGATATTCCATTCTTTATATAAATAATGGAAATTTTTACAAATTTTATTGATATAAATAATGGAAAGAGTGAAAAAGGTTTGGTGGAGGTCAGAATTTGTTGTGATGAACCAGAACAATAAATAATTTGTCGGAATCGGCCATCCTTGTCGTTTACATTCGCCTCGAACGCTTTGAGGTCCGCGCTGGGACAAATCGAATGGGATCATTCCGACTTCCCACTTTCATTTAATGTAGCATAAATCACGGAATTTCCAAGATATATGGGCCAGATAATCTGATTTGATGGTCAAGTTGTGGCCTTGAGTATGTATGACACGTGCATTTGACAATACATTTCACTTGCACCCCTCCCCACCACTCCAATATAATTACAGACAATCTTTTTGACGAACAAAACTTAATTAAACAGACAGCAATGAACTTTATTTGTGATTTAACGTATTTTCTATGCATACATGAAGCACAGTATCACATGAGTGCTTGGTCATATGTGCAGTCGCATGCATGTTTACTTAATGCTTTTACATTGCCCTGGCATTAAGAATATGAGCACAGCAGAAGAAAAGTAGGTTTCAAACACTTGCAATGTATGCTGATTACAAGCCTCTGCCACAAACTGCGTGGGGCTGCTCTGTCCTCTGTTCATTTTTCTTCACACAGAAAATCGATGAAATGCTCATGAGTCTGCATCGCTGCAAATGTTACAAAGGTGTGTCTTTGCAACGTGAACTCCATTAGAATGCTGACTCTCACTTCAAATGAATGCCAGAATAGAGCAGGTCACAGAGCCCCTTAACCATCCATCCATCCATTTTCAACACCGCTTATCCTGAACAGGTTCGCGGGGGATTGCTGGATCTTATCTCAGCTGACTTCGGGCGGAAGGCGGACTACACCCTGGTCGCCAGTCAGTTGCAGGGCACATATAGAGACAAACAACCATTCACACCCACATCCACACCGTCACTGAGTGGGAACTGACCCCTGTTGCCCACTCACAAGTCAGGCGAGTGTACCACTACATAATCAGCGACCCCATCCCCCCATTAACCACATTAAATATTCCTCAAAAAGATAAATAGAAGGTCATGAAAAAAAAAAGTCAAAATGCTTTGAAAACGATTCAGATATTCTTCTCAGTATCTCAGTGCTCACCGAAATGCTTATCCACATTAAATGCCGAGTCCCTGTGCCAGAAGTTGATGGATTCCGTCCTTAAAGGGGAATCAAAGTCAACATATCTACACTTGCCATATCTTCTATGTGCCCCCAGTAGTCTAATCACAGAATTCTGATTACCGGTAATATTACAGTTGTGGACTAAGAATTAAGATAATTAATCCCTCTGTTTTCATCCATCCCAGGGCCTCTTACCGACCCCTACTGTTGACAGAAATTGACATCAAACCACCCTCTGGCTTGAATTGCAAAAGTCACATCTCACTGATTTTCTGAGTTTGGCCCAAGGGCAGCGACGTTGGTGCGTTTTCTACACTGGCAATGTGAAATAATGCCGTGTATTAAAATAAAGTGATGTCTATTAAAAAAAAAAAAAATCTAATCGGATTGATTGATTGATCAATCAAAAAATAATATATAGATAAATTGCTTATTAAAATTATTGTAAATTGCAGTTCTAATTGTCCTACTGATTTTTCTGCCAAAATGAGAAAAACCACATCCTTTTAACCAGTACTGGTAAACATACTGGATTTGGTTTATGGGGCCTGAAAAAAAATATGTGGCGGGCCAGATCTGACTCCGGGGCCTTAAACTTCACATGTGTAGAAATGGAATACTATGAAAGCTGGCCCTCTTGCAATATTGTAAAGTCTTGCAACTTGTACTCAAAAACCCATTCCTGGTGATGTCAACATGTGTTTCCGAGTGCCTGTCCTCTCTTGTTTGCCTCATGAGCGAAGGAGGTAGCACCACTAGAGGAAGTCAGCCAGTGGTGTGGCGGTGAGCTGGCTGAGCGTCACCTCTCTGTGAACGGATCCAGTCAGTATGCAAGCTGTCCTTTGGGCTGTGTTTACATGACACTTGGCGGGATTGTCAACGCAGTGAAGACATGCCTCACATCTATCCATTTGCCCAGTTGAGAAGCGTGTGGAGATGATTGTGACTTTGTTGCGTGGCAGAGTGGAACCCAAACGTGGACTTGACCCAGAGATCCTCTGCCGCAACGTGAACGTGTCCCTGTAGAGACATTCACGGAAGTTTGGCTTACAGAGCAGGTAAACCGCTGGATTGTAGACGGTGGAGGATTTGGCAAACACAGCGGCCATGGCGAATGCAGACGGAGGAACCCGTGTGGCATCACTGAATGCTGACCACATGGCGACACAAGCATAGGGAGTCCAAGCACCGAGGAAGCCTATACACACTGCTACTGACAGCTGTGGAAAAGAATAGACAGAGGCAGCTATTGATGCATATGCCATAAAACCCATCCGTCCATTAATTTTCAACACTGCTTATGCTGAACGGCGTCACGGGTAATTGCTGGAGCAGATCTCAGCTGACTTTGGGCGGAAGGTAGACTACACCCTGAACTGGTCGGCAGACAGTTGCAGGGCCCATATATAGACAAACAACCATTCACACCCACATCCACACCGTCACCGAGTGGGAAGCGATCCCATGCTGCCTGTACACAAGTCAGGCGAGTGTACCACTACACCATCAGAGACTTGCTGTAAAACCATATACAGTAATTCCGCATTTATCATGGGGGTTAGTTTCCAGACTGCAATAGATGAAATCCGCAAAGTAATGACCACATTTTGTTTCACTATCTATATATATTTGAAAGTTTCTTGCATATAATGCTACAATATATGCATGTGAGTTGCAGGCGTTATCTTTGTCCTCTTGCCGTCGCACTACTACTGTCATCACATTCTACACTGCAGTATCTGTGACTTTCAATGATTGTGCCTTTCAAAGGTAGTCCTATTCTGGTGTGTGAAGTGGAAGTGAGTGAATGAGGATGTAGAGCTGGCTGGATGTTAACTGGCTAAACTGTTAGCCACTCTGCGCATGTTTAGTGACAGCGTCAGTAATTTGAGCCCATTAGTGGTCCAAAAATGTGCTTGTTTTAACTGTATTTTGTCACTGTTTGTTTAATAAAATATAATCTAGCTCATCAACCTAACAAATGACAATGTCTGATTAAATCCATGGTGGACTATTCCTAATTTGAATTATCACGAGAATTCCAGGGTTGTATGGTAATCAAAATGGAATTAATTTCAAGTTAGTCAGTTCATCTTTGGGTTATACAGATGCAATGTGGTTCTATACCCAGTCATTTTGAATGGTATTTATTTGGCCATTGATTTTGCGTTTTATTTTATATGAATGATTCTTCTACTCATATCATGTGTGCTCTGTGTAAATTATGTGTTTTAAAACTGAAGGTATAAAAGATCAAATAATTGCTATTATTTTCGCATATTTTGAAGGAAAAATAAGTATTATATCAGAAAATATGTTGTTATTTGGGGTAAAAAAAATCCTGTATTCAGCTTTAAAATTTTGTGTATATTGCAGGTCTACTCTCACATAGCTCACGGTGAAGAGACTCACTCACTCGCTCTGACCTTGACAATAAGCGAGTGCACGTTGGTGCTCTTGGTTTGTGGCGACACGTGCTGCTGGACAGCCTGCCGGGAGCCTCGCACTGTGAGTAGGATGGACGAGTAGGAGAGAAAGATGATAGTGCAGGGCAATGCGTAACAAAAGACAAAGAGGCAGACAATGTATGACAAAGCTGAAATCTCGTGGTTGGGCGCGTGCCAGTCAATGCAACAGGCCGTGCCGTAGGGTTCTGTGCCGTATCTTCCCCACTGCGCCAAGGGCGCCACGGCAAACATTGATGCGTAACACCACACTGCAACCACCAGGAGACGAGCATGTGCCCAAGAGAATTTGTTGCCTGATAAAGACAAGAGAGCGGCAGTGAGATGTTTCCCTACTTACATAAATTGCTCGTTGGTTGTTCAGCCGTTTCTCACCGTATTTTGGAAAGCAGACTTTAAGGCAGCAAACGAAGGAGAGGGCAGTGAGATTTGTTAAGCTGCAAAGACCAAACAGTACACCACACATTGCATAGAGCTGACAGGCAGTCTCTCCAAAGAGCCACCTGTTTGCAAAGGGGACAAGAAAATGGTGCAGACTGTAGGCAGTCGAACTGAAAGATTGATTAGCGCACGACTGAGATGGCATTTTTGGCTCTAAATTCTTGCACAAGTACACAAACTTGTCACACTACATCAACTTATATCTTAATCTTACATTATTATGAAACAATTACACTTGTTTCTTTTCACTTTGTGTTGAGATCATGGCCATTCATGTTTGTCTTTGTGAAGTATTTTTTCCTCGTTTATTTATTTAGTTTTTGTTTGTTTGTTGTATATTCCATCTAATGTGCTGTTATGTATTGTTCTTGGGCATACAATAACCGGGTTTCCACTGTGTCTTTTTGCTTCTTAAAGATACAATTTACATGACATTAAAATGCTGTAATAGGCTCTCTAAAATATGTGCAGAAAAAATACTAGGATACACTCCTGGATGTGCCATGACTGCGTGTTTTTGTGCAAGCGTTATGATTTGCGGCACGAAACTGTAGTATTGTATTGTTTTACTTGTACAAAGTCACTGTGTAGCATGAAGTGAAAATAAACAAAAAATAAGTTTAATCTCAGTCAAGTAGTCAGTAGGTATGTGTGCTGCATGCATGCGTGTGTGTGTGTGTGTGTGTGTGTGTGTGTGTGTGTGTGTGTGTGTGTGTGTGTGTGTGTGTGTGTGTGTGTGTGAGAGAGAGAGAGAGAGAGAGAGAGA